AATTTTTAAGATTATTTGATACCCTATATTATATCGAGTGACCGAGTGACGGAGCCATAGTTTGAAGAGTTTTCTTCGATTAATTAATTATTTTACTGATGGTGTTTACTAGGGGTGTGAAAAATTACCCGATCCAGTTGACCCGACCCGCCGACTCGAATCTAAAAAAAACCGGGTAATTCTCTAAAAAAAATTACCCGGCCCGACATTTCCCGGGTCGGGCTCGGGTCACAAAATCTAGTTTTTTCGGGTACCTGGACTCGGTTAGTTATTTTTTTTTATTTTTTTATATAATTATATAAAATATAATGAATTATTTATATTATAAATTATTATATTTTGTATTTTGAACTTTTAAATTTTATGTTCGGATATTAGAGTATGTAATTCGAAGTTTCGAACATTTAAATTTGTTTATATATTTTTTTTAAATTAATAATTTAAAATTAAAAAATTAAAAACCGTGTATCAAGTACCCGATTACCGGGTACCCGCAAAATCCGGGTACCCGATTACCGGGTACCCGTAATATCCGGGTCGGGACACGGACCGAGAAATCGTCGACCCGGATTTGCACACCCCTAGTGTCTACCCTAAAATTTTTCCTACCCACCTGAAATATGTGTTTCCTTCGATCAGTTACTTATTCTACGGATAGTGCCCACAGTGATATTTTATTTGTACCAATCTCATTTAAAAATTTTATGTTATAAACATAAGTGTGTTTACCCTGAAAGATATTTTTGGATCTACCACTGATTATACAACAGTGTTATCGTTTGATATTTTCATGAAAATTATTATTATTTTTAATTTTATTTTTTAATCTATAAATTTTACGTGACACGATCATATAATATATCACGTAGTAACAATATTTCAGAAAAAAATAATTGAGATTTAATAATTACAATTCGTTAAACAGCTCAATTGCTCCGATTTTTCAATTTAAAGACTTAATTTTTCCGATTTCTTAATTTTTTAAGACTTAAATGAGTGAAAAAAGTTCACAAACTTAATTTCTTATTTGAAAAAAAATTGAAAACTTCAGACACCTTCAATCCATTTTAAAATATGATGCACTAATTATATTATTTTAAATATCTTTATATGGGAAAGACGAAAGATTATTGGAGATTAATCCTTAATTTCAATATTTAATATTAATCCTAATTAAAATAATATTTTTTTTATAATATATTAGAGAGTTAATCAAGCTATACATTTTCAATGTTGAACATTATTTGCAATCGTTTTCTTTATTTAATAAACGTAGGGTTTATTAATATGGAGTCTAGGGTTTAGCCGTCCAAATTTAATTGAAGGAGAGTAGGGAGCTAAGTGAATAAATAAATAAAGGAAGGATTATAAAAATATAGATGTGCAAAGCTGTCAACGCGTTGTTATTATTGGTATTGGGTAGCGCAGCAGAGTTTTAGACATTTTTTTTTTGTTGTCGTTCGTTTCGTCTTAATTAATCTAGACCGTTTCGGGCCGCACACTAAATTTTAGTGAATAAATTTTTTAACGGAATTTTTTTATATACATAAAAACTCGAACATGAGATATTATTTAAACGATATCAAATTATTTATCACTTAAACCAACAAGTGAGTTATAGACATTTTTGAATAATGGCAAGTTTGAAAATTGTGGTTGGTTTAGCCACTGAATGTACATAGGAAATGATGGAAGTAGATAAATGCATGTTTTTTAAAAAAATATTTAAAATTATAAAATTTTGGAAAATATAAAAATTAAATTATCAATAAAAATATTTAAATTTTATAATTTTTTTAAAGAATATAACTATATCTCTTGGTATCTATCAAATGTTAATAGAACAGTGTATGCTTTGCAAACGAGTCCTGTCGACACTAAATTTACAATTACAAATAATTAAAATGTTGAGATAGAGAGATAGGCTCATGCTTGGTCGGCAGATCAGATTCATTAAACCTTCAAAAACCTGCTTTCAGTGTGTGTGTGCATATATGAACCGACTTTCATCTTTTTAAGTGATCTATAAGATTAGGATGGGTATAGTCGAGTTGAGTTGTGTTTTCGATCAATTTAATCCGACCCAAATATTGTGTGCCTTCTATTTGATCCAAAATCTGACCTAAAAATTATACATAATCCGTATGACTCGAACCCGACCTGACATTTTAAGATAAAATATGACCTAACCCGACCTAAAATAATATATTTATAAAAAAAACATTATTTTTATTCTATAAACATAGAGATTTAATTGAAATACAATTATCTTTAAAAATATAAGGTAAAATTACATTTCTTCTTGACAAGGTCAGATATTTTTCACCTTAAATCTGAATTTGAACCTGACCCGAACATTATCTCTAAAAGACCTGACCCAAACCTGAATTTTCTTTTTTAAAGTTCCAATCCAATAGGTCAAATCAGGTCCAAACCTATCATGTTCGGATCCCATGCCTCATCTCTATATTAAATGATTTCAATGATAAAAAAAATATTATCTTTTCAAAAAATTTGAATTTAAGTAGTTACATTTATAGGATATGTATACATTGCTAATTAATAACAAAAATTCTGAATACATACTATCTTATAATCATCGGAAATTTCATGTATAACTATAAGATAAGGGGTTTAGAGCATAGATTATCATAAATTGTGACGTAAGTAATATAGTAATTAACTATAGTTTCTGTTGATAAAAAAACTATGTTGAATAAATTTTTAACTTTAGAAACTACATTAAATTTTCATTAATTATTTTTATAATCGTAGGTAAATAATTTATTTATGAAGCAACTCCATGTTCAACTGAAAGCTGTTTTCTATATACAAACTCAGTTAGGGGTGTATTCGGTTCGGTTCAGTTTTTTACAAAAAATTGAATCGAACCGAAATAAGGGATTTTCGATATTTAAACCGAAACCGAATAGTTAAAAAACCGAAAAAACCAAAACCGGTTTTTTCGGTTCGGTTCGATTTTTTTAACGGTTCGGGTTTTTCGGTTCGGTTTATCGGTTTTTCAATAAAAAAATCAATTGAAACTATAATTTTTTTTACAAAAATTGCCTATTCGGTTCAATATGGAACAAATGGGTTCCATATGGAAAATCCGAACCGAACCGAATCAAAAAAATGAAACCTTTAAACCAAACCGTTTAAAGCCAAACCGAACCGAACCGTTTTACTCGGTTCGTGTCGATTTTTCGATTTTCTCGGTTTCGTTGCTCAGCCCTAAACTCAGCAACGTTCATCTTTTTTCATCGAAACAGTAGTTTCTCCATAAGGAACTATGACTAATTAATAAATTTTACCCTCGTATGCATAATGTATATTTAATAAACTAATTAATAAATAAATAAGCTAACGGAACATTTACCGTTCAGACCGTTCCTCGACCTGTTCAGCCACCTCGGACGGCTTCTTAACCTCCCGCAGCTGCACGGAGTTGTCAAAGCAGTGATAGAAACCATAGTGTGGGAACCTCTCATACCAAGTCTCTTGCTCCACATGTGTGTCCCAATGCTCCCCGCTGCTGCTGCTCCCGTACTTGTGAATCCATCCCGAGCCGTTGTGTTGCTCGCCCCACGTGCGATTCCATTGATCGCCATCCTTCCCTTGCCACCATGCCCGTTGGGGTCGAAATGCTCATCCCACTTGTCGCCCCATTTCGCCCAACCATCGCCTTCGCAACGCTCCGCCCATTTGTCGGTGTATTTTACACTACCTCCATATCCATCATATTGTTCACCCCAACTGCCAAAGTTGCAAAAACTTGAGATCAAACATATAAACTCAAACTGGATGAATATCACATCTCCATCCTCCAGAGGACCCAAGCAATGCCATACAAATCGTTCAATAAAATCTCTAACAAACTTTGGATGACACAAGACACAGATTTAAGCGTTTCAACTTTCAAGATGTTTTGAGAGCTTAAATGGTTGTCCTTTGTTTTCAAATGGAATGGGGTAAGGGGGGGTAAGATAGTAGGCTGTCTCCAACACTAGGTTGAGAGCAACTTCCCTAGGAGAGCTTGATAGTGTTAAATTTCTACAGGGATCAACAAGGATGTTCTTTTGTAAGAAATTTACGACCAGTTCAAGACTGCAACCATAAACAAATTCGGGATAAAGATGCAAAATTATATCAAAACTAGATATGAAGTTTACCTTTCATGCCAGACATGAGCATGGCCAGCCTCAAGGGGTGTGTTTGGGTCAATGCTGCAACACTTGTCAGCCCATTTCTCAGATTTTCCGGATGCACCATAATGTTCCCACCATTTTTCGTGCCACTCAGCACCTTCAGTATTCTTTCCCCACTTATCAGCAGATTTTTCGAGATGTACATGCACATTCTCCTGCACCAGGCAACACTTTCAGAATTTCCCCCCTAAAAACAATACCTTAGCTCGCTCCAAGGTTTTTGAACTGCTTTTAAAGCAAATTAAAATTTTTCAGATGCGGCTTTGGTTGGCTCGACGGTCGGTTCCGTTATAACCGATTTACCGACCGTGAAAATGGAAATTATGCGGTTATTTTATTGACACGTGGCATACTTTTTTTTTTTATTCCACTTTATACTATCAATGACCCAGTGTTTTGCTTGTCTTCTTTGAAGGTGAACTCTCCTATGCCTACCTAGATGATCACTAGAGCAATTATATCTATTATCACTAACTGATAAATTGATAAATTTAAATCCGACCCTTTTTTCTCTCTAAAATTTCAGTGGATCTATCAATCTCGTATGTTAAAACATGCACGTATCCCAAAGATGACCGTATGAATATGTCGGACTTGGCTTTAGATTTTTGCTTGTGGAAGATTTGGTCCCTTGAATTTCATTTGTTTCCCAATTTGATCCAACATAAGCTCACCAAGCAAATTGTTTTACAACAGTGTCCTAGTCACCTGCCTACAGACTCGCCGCGTGTGCCTCCTCCAAAACGCTATAAATTACCATGATTTCAACCACTAATCATCGATCACATTTCACTGAATAAGCTCATATTAAACAAACAAACAAACAAAAAAAGATGACAAAAATCGCTTTGGTCCTTCTTTTGATCTCAATGCTCATGATTCTTTCGGTTCAGTCCGCCTCCGGTATCGTGACCGTTTCACATGCATCGATAGCAGATGTCGAAAAAGTTTCCGGGCCTTTGAAGGTTGCTGCAGGACCGGTAGTGGATGCTGCTGCGCCGGTAGCGGATGCTGCAGGGCCGGCAGCCGATTCAAAGGAGAAATCCTCGTCATGGATCGATTGGACCAAAGACAAGATCAGGTGAAGATAATAATAATTATATATGCATTTTTGTTATCATTTTCTTGGTTTTGTGTGTGACTTATGAATGATATAACTCGTGATGTTCATCCACGTTCAGTGGTATTGAGAGCAGTGTCGGGAACCTGTTTTCTTCGTCGTCGTCTTCTTCTTCGGGATCGGCCTCTGCTCCGGCACCGGCAACGAAACCGAAAACAAAGGTTTGAGCCGGAACTGTCGCTTCAGAAAGGATATATCATGCAACAGAATACCAGTGCACATTGATGTAATGTATTTGGAATAATCCAAGTGGTCGTCCTCCAACAATAGTGGGGATTTAACTGGAGAATCATTATTATTTTTTGTTTTTATTTTATTTTTCAATTAAGATATGTTGAAAGTCATCATATTCGAACATATTTAAATACATAATTTCTTTTATTAAATAGTTAAAAAATGACATAAGCTCATCATCAATGAAACTAAGAGTAAAAAGCATTCTATCATCATATGATTATTGGTTTATGTTCATCGGATTCAACTGATAATTTTATTTTTTTAATCTAAAAAATTATGTTTAAGTAAGAAATACTTTAAAATAATAGTATATAATTTATTTTTCATGTAATTGATGGTTGAAACCAGAAGCTAGAGTAATGGATCCAGAAATATCTTATATCTGAACCAGTGTAATTTTATGTCTCAGTAACGATGAATCTAGAAATATTTTTTTTAGGATATATATATCTTAATAATACATTTTTTTGTATGGAGTAAATACAAATAAAATTTTAGGATAAACACAATTATTAAGGGTTACTTTTGTCTATGTAATAGACTCAATTTATCATTTTCGTCTCTATCTTATTTTCGTCACTATGTTTATCAACTGTCAGCATTCCAAATTAACAGGGATGACAAATTGGTGGGACGGGTACGTATATCTCTTTCCTGATCCTTATACTCGCTTAATGTTTTCATATCCAATACCTACCCATCACTTACAACGAGTAAAATTTTTAAATCCAAATCACCCACGCGAGTATATTCTCAAATCCACCCTCACACCCACTACCCAACTTGATACCCACTACCCAACTTGATACCCACCATCCATCTTGTACCTGTCTATAATCGTCAATACCAGCCTAGCAGCAATCTCACAGATTGCTTAATCAACAAAATATAAAACAAATAGAAGTATAATAAAATAAATCAAGGATTAATTGAGTTTTTATCCTAACATTTGGTTAAATTGCAAGTCATGTCCTATAAAATCTTAAGATTTATAGAATAGTCTCAAAAATCATACCTAAATTCATAATGGTTTAAAATTTATATGGTGGGTAATTAGTAGGCGGGAGGATGCATAGCGGGTAAAGTCTTAAACTCATCATTTACCCACTACCCACTAGGGTATGACATTTTACATCCACACCCGCCCATTACCCATCAAACTTATATTCATCATCGTCCCAATTGAATGGGTACGATATGAAATCCACGAAACTGTATCCATCTGTCATCTTTAAAAATTAATAATTTATAGAAAAATAATTTTAAACAAATAAATTGTTAGAGCACATTAAACAATCTATTTGGAAATTTAAAAATAAGAAATTGTCTACAACCGCTCAAACAAAGCGTGACCTACCGATGGACTCGCCGCATATTTCTCCTCCAAAATGCTATAAATTAGCATGAATGAAACCTCATATCATCCATCACATTTCACTGAATAAATCAACATTCATAAATAATAATTTCTTTTTTTTCATTGTTCTAACATATATTATCAAAATATGTTAATGTAATATATTTGGAGTAATTCAATTGATTTCTCGTCCTATAATGATGGAGACTTGATTGGAAAATCACTGTTATTAATTTTTATTTTTTCAATTAATATATGTCAAAAGTTATCGTATTATATGAAACGAGAATTTATTTGACGTTGTATGCTCATATCTCTCTATATATGTGGTGTTTAAATTCGGTTCGGAACTTTAAGTAATAACAATAATTCATTTATCATATATTTCTCTATATATGTACTATATATGTAGTGTTTAAATTCAATTCAGAACCTTAAGGAATAATAATAATTTATTTATCATTGAGTCTTATGGTTCGTGCAACTTATAAATCTTTTAAAATTACAAAATGACTTGTTAAATAAAGAAAAATATTTTTTTTGTTGCCCTCCTGATTCCAAGGCTTCACCTTGACTAATCCGGATCGACCCGTGTCAAAAACATGACTTTGGTGGGTGAATCTCCCAGTATTGATTTTATGCATATAGAAGGACTCAAACTTGAAACTTTATTTAAGCGATATCAAGTTGTTTACCACCTGAAGTAACAAAATATTTATTGGAATAAGCATACTCGGGTAGATAGAGATGCTCAAAATATTGAAATTTGATGAATTTTAATTTAATTTTTATATGTTTTTTTAATAAAAGCATCTAATTTTATTAATAAATAAGAAAAATCCAAAATTACAATAAAATTTATGATAAAAATCGTAAATTAGATATATAATTGAGATATTCTTTTAAAATCATTAAGAAACTAGTCACTTAATATCATATTAGGACCATATAAGGAAAATATGAAAATCTCATCTAGAAAAACTCGAACAACGGGTAGATACGAACAGATCTAAATGTTAAAACAAACAAACCACAATAAGGTATTTAAACTACTGAAAGACCATCGACATAACACAAATCAGATCCAAGCATCACGACATAATTATATGCGATCGCAGGTTACGTATCCAAATCCAATTCAAGAGTTCAAAGCAGGAAAGATCAACGAGATAACAAATGAGCGTCATCTTGATCAGTCATAGCGTGCTATGAAAGCAGAGAAAAAGCGTACTATGAAAATAGATGAATTCGTGTCATAAAGACATGGTTATTCTAAAAGAAAAAGACAAATATGTGAAATAAAAAGAAAATATTAGTGATGACTACCAGTACCAAGACTAGTGTCGTCGCATGCTAATGAAAGAAAAAAGAGACAAGGGCATAGAGAAAAGAAAGCAAATCGCTAGGGTCAGACATATGATGGCTTTTTTTAATATAAATAGAAGCTACTTAATTTATTAAAAAATAGACAATCTCTAACAATACAATAAACATATGGTTATACATATCCCTATAATTATTAATATTAAAAAGTAGCCACTTAAAATCATATAATGAACATACAAAAATAAAATCAAAAACTCATATAAAAGATTGATACTAACATATATGATTACATCGTCAAATGAACCACAACCAAATATTAAACTATTGATAGATCACTAACAATCATAAATCAAAATCGAATATCAACTCAGATGGTTACAATAGGAAGAATTGCAACTTTCGAACATATTTTATTGGAATAAGCATACTCAGGGAAATAGAGATCGTCAAAATATTGAATTTTGATAAGCTTTAATTTAATTTAATTTAATTTTATATGTTGTTTTTTAATAAATATAGAAGCTATTAATTTATTAAAAAAGAGATATTACCTAAAATTAAAATAAAGATATAATTACACATGTCCTTATAATCATTAACACAAGAAACTAGGTACTTGAAATCATATAAAGACCATAAAAAAAATTAAAACCTCATCTAAAAATATTGAACAAAAGATAGATACAAAAAAACCTGACTACACCATCAAACGAACCACAACCAAAGATTAAACTATTAATAGAGTACCGACAATCACAAAACAAAGTGTCAATGAAAACAACGTATCTAAATCCAATGCGATAGTCCAAACCAAGGAATATCAATAAAAGAAAGTGCCGGCGGATATAGAAAAAACATGTCATAAGTAAAGACATAATTGTTATTTCACCTATAATTTGAGACAGATGAAATATCATCAAATATCAAGACGATCGAAATCAAATAACATCTTTTAATTTCAAATAAAAATCGATACCGATTCATCCGCTCGTACTTTTTGATCTAAGAAAATCTGACCAATCCAAACTATTAACAACAGCCTAAACTAGGTGTAAAACCCAACCAATAGAAAAAACAATGAAATAGTCCCTTTGCCTATGGACTCGCCGCATATGTCTCCTCCAAAAAGACTATAAATTGTGATGTTTTCAACTTGATTCATCCATCACATTTCATTGAATAAATTTATATTCAATAATAATAATAAAAAAAAAACCCATTTACTTTCTCTTTTCTTTTGATTACAAAGAAACAGAGAAAAAATGGCAAAGAATATTTTGGTCATTGCTTTGATCTCAATGTTCATGATGTTTTCAGTTCAATCCTTTATCGACGATAAATCGATTTCGCCCGCCCTAATGAAAGACTTCGAAGCGGCTTTCGTGCCGGGTTCGGATGTTTCCGGACCAGCTATGGACTTCACGAAGGGAAAATCCTCGTCATGGGGTGGTTGGACCTCAACATTCAGGTGAAGAAAAAGAATCATGGAAACTAAAAAAAATAGTTATATATGCATTTGTTTTTAGGGTAACCTACACTCGATGTCACTAAACTATTGAATCGATTTTATTTTGATTATTCAACTAAAAATTTTGTCAAGTAGGTTAGTAAATCTTTAATTTGGTTTTAATCAAGGCATCAACCATTAGCTATTAATCGAATTGCTGACATGTCATTTAAGTACATTTGTACTATAACACACTTGCTCCGCACTATTTATATATTATATCTAGGAATGGTAACGAGGTAGGTTTGGGGCGGCTTTTGCTCCCCGTCCCCGTCTCTATCCCCATCCCCGAAATAAATCCCCGTCCCCGCCCCGTTCTCCATCGGGTTTTTTATCAGGGTGCCCCGTCGGAAATTTTTTTTGTCCCGTCCCCGACCCGATCCCGAGAACCCGAACCCGACCCGATCCTGAGAAAAAACCAAGCAACCGTAGTTTTCATAAAAAATAGAAAAAGCGATCAAAAAAAAATTGAAAAATTAGTCTACATGATTTACAATTCAAAATACAATCACAAATTCAAACCCAGTTCTAAATAATTGTCTAAACTCCAAAATAAAACACATACATAATTAAATACAAACTTGTTCCGATATTCAAATCATACAACGAAGATGCATACGTAATATTAAGTCAAATAAAGTCATCCAAAATTGTCGTGCTACTTTTGTCACTTTCTTTGGTAGCTCCCTACATTGAGAAATTTATCAAAAAATCAACCAAATTTCACTTTAATAATTATAAAAGCTAGGGTTTAGGTTTAAATGTTTAGGGTTTAGGGTTTTTATTATATAATTAATATAAAAAATATAAATATTATATATATTATATATATAATTAATATAAAAATATAAAATATTATATATAATTAATATAAAAATTATAAAATATTATATATATATATATATATATATATAATCGGGGAGGGCGGGAATACCTTACCCCGAACTCAAAAAAATCCCCGAATTTTACCCCGATACCCGACCCGATATTATACAAACCGACCCGACCCGAACTTAGCCGGGTTTCGGGTTTCTCCGTCGGATTCGGGTCGTTCTGCCATTCCTAATTATATCAATGTGGGTTTTACTTCAACCATAAATCAAATGTTGAGCTTTGATCAGGGATAAGCACGGCCATATACCCCATGTGTTATCATCTTATTAAAAAATTAATTTTATTAAAATTATGAATAAATTGACATAATGTCTAAATAGCATTAAATATGTTATTATACTAATGTTCTTAATTGGTTTACTCTTATTTTATTTTCTCGGTTTTACATGTAACTTATGTATGATAACTTGAGATGTGCAACTATGTTCAGCGGTATTCAGAATAGGTTTGAGAACCTTTTTTCTTCATCACCATCTTTGGTACCGACGTTGACGCCGGCACCGAAACTGGCTCCAACATTGATATCGGCTCCGACACCAAAAACTGCAGAATCACTTCATAAAGGATTCAATAGGTATGCAACAAAATATCAAAGCATGTTCATGAAATATATTTGGAGTAATTCAATTTGGTTCTCGTCCAATAATGGTAGGGATTTGAACAAGAGAATCATTTTTTTTACTTAATAATGTTTGAGGCTCTCCAATTTCTCAAAAAAAATTAATGTGGTCGTTGAATTTATTTTGCACTCAATGTGGTTTCTGGCCCTTTGATCAATGGAATCAGACGTTGATTGTTATGATGTTGAGGTTAGCAGTTAACGTCGATGGCTTCATTAAAATCAAGTTAAAAGTTTAATGACCTAATTGACAAAAGTTTTGATATTATGGTTAAAATAGAATCGAACTAATAGTTTAATGATCTCAAGTAGTTCACTCTTATTTTTGTTTTCTTGGTTTTATATGTAACTTATGTATGATAACTTGTGATGTACAACTATATGTCTTCAGCGTTGATCAGAATAGGTTTGATAACCTTATTTCTTCTTCGTCATCTTTGGCATCGACATTGGCACCGACATTGGCATCGACATTTGCACCGACATTGGCATCGACATTGGCACCAACAACTGCAGAGTCACTTCATAAAGGAGACACCAGGTATGCAACAAGTTATCAAAGCATGTTTTTGTCAAACGAAAATTAATGTGGCCACTAAATTTATTTTGCATTTAATATGACCTTCAAACTGAGAAAAAATTTATTCCAACTCTTGTACCAATAGAACCAGGTGTTGACTGGTATGATGCTAAAAAAAATTAACTGACCCTTATTCCCATATGTAATGGGATAAGGGGAGGTAGGATAGTAGGTTGTGCCCCCAATGCCAGATTGAGAGCAGTTTCCGTGGAGACCTCCAAATTATGAATTGGCCCCCATGGGACTCGATCTCACGACCCCAAGGTTAAGAGCCTTGTGCTCTACCAACTGAGCTGGACGGACAATTCTGGTATGATGCTACATGATAATTCATAATGGTCAACAATTAACACCGATGACTTCATTGAAACTAAAATTAAAAGTTTAATGATCTAATTGACAAATATTTTGATATTGTGGTTAAAATAGAATCGAACAAATACTTTAATAATCTTAAGTAGTTTACTCTTATTTTTATTTTCTTGCTTTTATATGCAACTTACGTATGATGATTTGTGATGTGCAACTACGTTCAGCGGTATTCAAAATAGGCTTGACAACCCTTTGTCTTCGTCATCATCTTTGGCACCGATATTGGCTCCGACACTAACACCGACAACCGTAGAGTCACTTCATAAAGGAGACATCAGGTATGCAACAAATTATTAAAGCACATTAGTGTAATATATTTGAAGTAATTCAATTGGTTCTCCTCTAATAACGATAGGAATTTGGTAGGGAAATTATAATTATTTTTGGTTTAGTGATATTTAATACTTTCAATTTTTGTTTTTTTTTAAAAAAAGACTAACGTGGCTTCTAACTTTATTTTGTATTTAATGCGGCTTTTAAATTGAAAAAAAAATTGTCCATTTGACCAATGAAACCAAACATTGACCGTTATGATACTACGTGGTAGTTCATGATGGTTAATAATTAATGTAGATGACTTCATTGAAACCAAATTAAACGTTTGATGACTTAATTGGTAAAATTTTCAGTATTGTGGTTAAAATAGAATCGAATCAATAGTTTAATGATCTTCAGTAGTTTACTCTTACTTTTATTTTCTTGGTTTTATATGTAATTTATGTATGATAACTTGTGATTTGCAACTATTTCAGTGGTATTCAAAATAAGGTTAACAACATTTTTTTGTCGTCACCATCTTTGAAACCTACATTGACTCCGACATTAACATCGACATTGACACCGACAACTGCAGAGTCACTTCATAAAGGAGACATAAGATATACAACAAATTATCAAAGCATGTTAATATAATATATATATTTAGAGTAATTCAATTGGTTATCTTCCAATATCGACGGAGATGATAAAAGAAATACAATTATTTTGCACTGAATGTGACTTTTAAATTGAGAAAAAAATATTTTGGACCTTTGGTCAATAGAACTAGATATAGATCATTATGATGCTATGTGGTAGTTCACGGTGATTAACAATTAATGCCGATAACTTGATTCAAACTAAATTAAAAGTTTAGTGACCTAATTCGTAAAACTCTTTGTCTTAATGGTCTTAAGTAATTTACTCTTATTTTTATTTTCTTGGTTTTATATGTAACTTATGTATGATAATTTGTCATGTTCAACTATGTTCAGCGGCATTCAGAATAGGTTTGATAACCTTTTATCTTCATCACCATCTTTGGCACCAGCATTGGCCCCGACATTGACTTCGAAACTGACACCGTCAACTGTAGAGTCACTTCATAAAGGAGATATCAGGTATGCAAAAAACTATCAAAGTAGTGGCGGATCCAAAAATTTATAGACAGAGGTCCAAAATTTTAATTTTCTTTTCTTTAAAATAATGGGTGTGCAAAACTTTTTATTTTTTCCATTTTTATTTAACATTTTATACTAAATTTCACTTTTTTTTTAAAGAATGGGGATGCACTTGACCCCTAGGGGGCTTAGTGCATCCGCCCCTATATCAAAGCATGTTAATGTAATATATTTAGAGTAATTCAATTGGTTCTCATCTAATAACGATGAGGATTTGACAAGAGAATTACTATTATTTTTTAATGATATTTGAGGCTCTTAAATTTTTATAAAAATATAACCCTTAAACTGAAAAAAATATTAGAATAGAATCAAGCATTGACCATTACGATGCTACGTGATAATTCATGGTGGTTAACATTTAATTTTGATGGCTTGATTGAACTAAATTAAAAATTTTGTGATTTAATTAGTAAAATTTCTGGTCATGTGGTTAAAATAGAATCAAACCAATAATTTAATGATCTTCAGTAATTTATTAGTATTTCTATTTTCTTAGTTTTATATGTAACTTATGTATAATAACTTGTGATGTGCAACTATGTCCAGCGGTATTCAAAATCAGGTTGAGAACCTTATTTCTTCATCACCGCCAGCATTGGCTCCGACGTTGACATCGATATTGACACCAGCAACTCTAGAGTCACTTCATAAAAAGACATTGACACCATCAAAAGTAGAAGCACTTCATAATGGAGACATCAGGTGTGTAACAAATTAACGTGGCACATGAATTTATTTGGTCTTTAAACTGAGAAAAAACATTATGGTCCTTTGATTATCGAATTGAACGCTGACTATTACGATGCTATGTGATAGTTCACGATGATTAACAGTTAACGTCAGTGGTTTGGTTGAAACCAAATCAAAAATTTAGTGACCTAATTGACAAAATATTTGGTTTGATAGTTAAAATAAAATTGAGCCAATAGCTTGAGGATCTTAAGCAATTTAGTCTTATTTTTATTCTCTTAGTTATTATATGTAACTTATGTATAATAACTTATGATGTGCAATTATGTTCAGCGATATTTCAAATGATATCGAAGATCTTCTTTCTGCATCATCATCATCATCATCTTAATCTTCATCTCCAACACCGGCACCGGCATCGGCACCGACACCACCAACTACAGAGGAGGTTTGAGCTGAAGTTACCACATCATAAAGGATACATCATGTATGCTTAAAATAATATCAAAGCATGCTAATGTAATATATTTGGAGTAATTCAATTGATTCTCCTCCAATAATGATGGCGATTTAATAAAAGAATCAATGCTTTATTTTTTTTATTTAATGATATTTGATGTTTTCATTTTTTGCAAAAAAAATAAGAAGGTAAATTATCAAAATGATCATTTACCTTTTATATTTGTATATTTTTCACCAAAATTATAAAAAGTTGTCGTTTTATTAAATTTTGGTCACTAAGACATTGAATGATGTCAGTTTGATGACAATGACAAACCCCTCAAAACCCATCATCGCCGAAAAGGAGACGAAGAACTTTATCATCACTGGGATTCTCCAGAGAAAGATATGATCCTTGATATATGTGCGGTACATGTCAACATGAACACAGATCGAGCCGGTCGGACAGCGATGGGATCCGCAAGTAAAGATCTCGTCACTCAGGAATCTTTTATAAACTCATCTAGAAATACTTGTCTTCCTAACGTGAAATTACCAACGATGATAGCCCTTACATTGAACCCGTCCAATGAAGTGATCTTACGCCTGCCCTTGAGTTGTTTTCAGTTTATTTTTGCTGGAAAGTTTGGGATACCCAGAATTTATGTACTGATTTTAGCTAACAAGTGGTGCAAGGGTAGTCTTTTAAGCTACTTTATGACCGTTTAATTCAATGTTGTTAATATAAATGGTAAGTTAATTAACCTTGAAAGAGTGTCCGAATCGCCCTCGTTAGCAAAACTTGAAAATGTATATAGTTAAAATCTATAGAGTTTTATATCCTCCGGTTAGTTATGAGTTTGCGATGTTATATATGATGATCTCAAATTATATACATGAGCTAAATTCATTAATAACTGATTATAACTACGGAGCATTTTGACCTACTATGACGAATAGTCATCATGACTCTGCACTTGATACTTGTACTAAATGTTAGTATAAAAACCCTTATGACGGGTAGAAAAGAACTTCTTACTAATCTTTCTCTCGAGCTTCTTCTCTCTCTCACGACTCCTCCTTTACTTTATCAATAACATCACCGATCAACGACCGCTTTATTACCGATTTTTGAATTGAATATAGACTATTCTTGTCATGTTTATTAGCCTTATCATTATTATTTATTGGGTAAATTATGCATTTAGTACTTAAACTATAAGTTTTGATATGTTTTAATATCTAATTTTTAATCTTTTTCAAACTTAAAGATAAATTTTGAATGGGGTATTAAAATGAAACAAAAATTAAACTTTAAGGTATGGTTTTAAAAAACTAAAAGTGTAGGCACCAAAACGGACCAAAATTGATAATTTATATACTAAATACATAATTTAATCTTTTTAATTTGATCATTTTCTTTTTTTTAAATTACAATTTATTCACTCTATTAAGATAATGTTACAAACATGTCATTCTAATAAAAATTGAAATAAACGTTCAATGTGGTCTGGTCTAATAATAACATTGTTAGTCCTCAAATTTTATAAATTTTACTATTCTAATCTTAATTCAAATAATTCAATAAATTTAATCATCAATGTTTAAAATTTTATTAATTTAGTCATGTTTTGTGCTATTATCAAATCAAGTAAATTCATCAGATCGAAGTTGCAGTTGAATAACTGCATTTCCCCCCATAAAAGTAATAAATTACTGCTAAATCATTGTTATTCTAATAAAATAATAAGATATATGGGAAAATAAAGAAATAATTTAGAAGAAGAATAAATATTGAATTGATAGGGTTTAGTTATGAATGATTAAATATTGAATTGATAGAGTTTAGTTATGAATGATTAAAAATGCTTTCATTGGGCAGAAAATATCAATTTCCTGACCCAAATTGAAATTTTTAAAACGATCTAGAAAAGTTCATACAGCAGACGGATGGTACACAAGAAGTTTACTCTGTTTCAGCGATCCGAATCCATAATATATGATGAATGAATGGAGCTTTCTTTCATTGATCAGCTCCCTTTCTTAACTTGGTGATTGTCCGGTAACATGCTCTGCGATCCACCCGAGACCATCGTACAGTCCATCTCCGATGAGTGCAGAGCAGGCTTGGATGTGCCAATCGTGAGTTTTTATGCTGTGAAGCGAAAGGGCGTCGGTGATTTCAGCCGGGGTCATTGCATCCTTTAGGTCTTGTTTATTTGCAAAGACGAGTATAACGGAATTTTGTAGGTCGTCGTGTGAGAGCAACCTGAAGAGCTCCTCCTTCATAGTGGTGATCCTGGCCCTGTCCACGCTGTCTATCACCACGATAACAGCATGAGTTCCGCGATAGTATGTAGCCCACGATGTCCTTAGTCGATCTTGTCCTCCAAGGTCCCATACCTGAGGCAAATACAAACATTAGATGTCCAGCACAAACATAAAATCTCAACTCTCCTCGGCTTAGCATAATTCCGTGACGAAACTCGTCATATTTTGAGACGTGATGCAAATAATCTAATCCAATGCTATCTAGCTAAACAGGCAATCAACAGTTAAGTTATTTCACATTATAGAATTTCGAGAACTAAATGAGAAAGAAAGAGCGACTCAACTCGAACAGTTGAACTACATTAGAAATGATGGTAAACAAGGAATGGAGCGCGTACAGATCCATCCAATCAGCAGCATAGTGAACAATGATGGTTTGTCCATTTCATCGTATTTAACATGCATCGTATATTTCAAGAGGCATACACGGAAAACAATTGTGTCGTTTCAATATAATCTGCTACTGTCAAGAAGTCTCTTAAAAGAACCTATGACATAAAACTGGATAATACAATATATAGGGCAAACATATATTTTATCAAGCCACATAATGATCTTTCCTTTCAAAAGAATTGTAGAGCTTTGTTAGTGGAACTAGTAAAATGTGCTTAATAGGCTTGTAACTAGGCAGCTTAAAAGCTCTTGACGAACCATTGGTTTATAGATAAACATATGGCCATGAATAACAGGAAATTGCAAAACAGATGTGCGATGTTTCATAGTTGTACAGCTCGGGGTTTCAAATAGCTGCGGCATAACAGTACGGCAGCTGCTATTTCAAGGTAGAGGCACTGCCCCCCTCCAATAATAGCCTAAATAGCAGTGTTATATATATATATATATATATATATATAATAGTGGTTGAATGCAGATGCAAAGAGTAGTGTAATGGAGACTAACTGCGATAACCCTTTAAAAACATTCTTGTTCTCAACAAAGTGAAGGACGGAATATGAAGTAAGACAGAGTAACAAGTAGTAGGACTAAAAACAGGATATCAAAAGACATTGGAGAGATGCAGAGCAGTGACCGGATAATACAAACAAGGCCAAAACTCATGAACTCGTTGCTCAAGCCGATATCTACAACTCAAGCTTAGGTTGTCAAGATTTACCTTATTTTAACTTCCTATTAAAGGTGTTTGCTTTTCTTGTAAAACATTTCAAGGTCAAAACTCATAAACTCCGGTCAAGGACTAGGGCAGGAAGAGATGGGTGGTCGGAATCAGCAGAACAGGACAGGATAGGACGACCAGATTTTAGGCGGTCTTGTGTGGGTTTTCGAAATTTGAGGGAATTGGAAAGGAGGTGGTCCTAGGCGCAGTTTACAAAATGTTTTTTTTTGTAATGTTAATTTTTCTTATTAGATTAGATAGTGTTCATTATTATTCAATGTGAACAAAATAATTAGAAATTGCTTATATTTTGTTGCTACCATAACACATAATTAACTAACATGCACATGCAATCATGACAGAACACAGATGGGGGGAACGGAAGCTTCTAAACAATTAAGACATGAACATGGCAAGACACAACAATAAAAACAACTTCTTATGATAATATACAGTTAAATGTAAAGCTATTTTTTAAAAATCAAATATTAACAAAAATATTACTTTTGTATGTAAGAACATGAACCTTAAAAAAACAATTGGAACCTAATTACTAGTTGTTGATTCCATATTTAAGAGAAAAATAATAAAAAGAAAACCTTCGATGCATCCAGCAACATGTTTAGTCGTGTCTCGACCATGTTTTCGTTTTTATTTCCGGAGGGATCCTCATATGTTCAACACATATTAAACAAGTTCCAAAGGCCAGTTTCTAAGCATCAAACAAATTCAAAAAACCATTTTCTTAGTATCAAAACCTATGTGGTAACTAACTTCCCTTCAAATATGAGTTAATTTCACCACGCTCGTAAAAGATCATAATTAGACAGATATTCACCATGGTTCAAGAATCAGAAAGTATCACATTCAACAGGCTAAATAATCAGAAAATGAAAACTAAGAAATGATTTCCAAGTTTTAGGCCTATTCGATTCAGCCCCTCAAACCTTTTCCAAATCTAAAAGATTCAAATCATTGAACTAATACACAAAGCCCTTAGGGGAAACTAAGAACTTAACATAATTAAATTGAATAAGATTAAAGCAATGAAAACCCAGAAATTAAACCATCGAGAAATCGTAAATAAAATCTCAAAAAAAAGTTACCTCGAAGCGGATGTTTTTATAAACAAGCTCTTCAACGTTGCTACCAACAGTAGGATGGGTGGTAACAACCTCGCCGAGGTGAAGCTTGTAGAGCGTCGTCGTTTTGCCGGCATTATCCAACCCGACCACCACAATCTTATATTCCTTCGCCGGAAATAACATAAACCAAAACTTCGATATGAAAGCCCCCATCTTTCGCTTCTCCCTTAATAATTAAAAAAAATCAACCGCTTTGATTTTGTATATAAACCGATCAAAAAATGGGATCTAACTAAAGAAACGATATAAAGAAAATTCAAAAACTACTTTTTACCCGAATTAAGAGACTTGGCGGTGAAGACGACGAACGGCGGCGATCGTGGAGTAGGATAAACCGGAAGTTTTTGGAGAAAATCCGATCTGATTTTGGAAGTTTAGGAAGAAAGTGGGAAAATATTAGAGAGGAAAAAGAAGAAATAAATAAATATAAGAGAGATGGAGGGGAATTGATGCTTGAACTGGTGTACACGGTCAAGGTGACGTGTATGACTTAGTGATGATTAGGTGGCCACTTTGTCATTTAACTTTGAGTTAATTGCATCTTATATCCCCAAATTACAACTGTCATATT